AGCGCCGGCGGAGGAGCGGCGCGCAGCCGGGCGCAGAGCAGCTGGTGTTCGGTGGAACAAACAACTTGCCACTCAAACGCGCGCCCGGTGCGCAAGCGCGGCTGCCGCGGGGCGTGCCGGGACTTGTAGTCACGAGCGGCCTGGGCGCTGCCGCCTGCTGATGTCAGGGTCTCCGTGGCCGCGCGGGGGCCCGGCAGTGCACGGAAAATACAGGCACGGGGGCCCTGGTAGGGATACAGGGAGGCCGAGGAGGGGGATGAGCGACTTCCTGACAGCCCGAGCTTAGGTGCAATCTCTATCCCTCAGAGCTTGGTCGGCGCTGGGGTTGCAAAGCGAGCAACAACTCCAGCGCTGAAGCAGGCCAGATCTGGGAGGGCAGCGTTTAGAGCAGCCGGCGCTTACGGTGCAGAGAAGCGAAACTGAGAGCGTGCCCGCGACAGAGTGGTGGCCTAGGGGTGTAAGAGTTGGTCCAGAGAGATCAGAGAGGGTAGTTTCCTGGAGGAGGGGATATCTAGGCTGGGTTCTGAAGGATGAATGGGAGCTCGCCAGGGAGGGAGGGGGCAGTAGATGGAGGGCAGCGGCCTTCCAGGCAGAAGGAACAGCGTGTCCAAAGGCAAAGAAGCGTGAAAGTCCCCATGGCGCTGTGTTTGGCTTTGTTGGAGCGGAAAATATGAGGGAGGAGAGGCAAGAGATAAGGCTGGTGTGGTAACCAAGAGGCGAGTTGAGAGGGGTCATATGTGCTGAGCTGTCGAGGGCGGCCTTTATCCTGTGGGAGGAGGCGTGCTGGAGATTGAAAGGCCTAATTCAGAAAAAGTCTGAAATGCACTTGAAGGTCTCCGACCCCAGGCCAACGTGCCAGTGACCACAGATGCTCCCTTCCTGGCTGACTGGTTTTGACAATTTCTAGGTAAAAGTCACCGGGGCTTTGCTCTTGGGAAGAGTACTCTGGGACCTGGTGGGCCAGCTCCACCTGCTAGGGCAGGCTGGAAAGTCTTATTTTTGAGGAAAATTCTGGCTGTACTCTCCTGTGTAAAGCAGGGCTTTAGGTGGGAACTGATAAGATAGGTAGTTGCCATGGACTCAAGTCTGACTCATGGTGACCCTGTGTACAGCAGAACTATTCGTGTGTCCATCCTTGGAGCTGTTGTGCCATCCATCCTCCCGAGGGTCTCCCTTGTCCTCGCTGGCCGTCTACTTCACCAAATACGATGTTCTTCTCCCCCAATGGATTCCTCCTGATGACATGTCCAGATCACTACATTGGCTGATTTTCTAAAGTAGATCCAGAAGCCTCTCTTCCTAGTCTCTCTTAGTCTGGAAACCCTGCTGAGAGCTGCCCACCGTGGGTGGCCTGCTGGCTTTGAAATACCGGTGGTGTAGCTTCTGGCATCGTAGCATCGTACAAGCCACCATAGTTTGACAACATGACTGATCGGTGGTAGGGAAGCCTACTGGCTTCTATTTCCACGAAAGGGCGTGAAGCCTGTAATCTATGCTGCTTCTCGGAACATGCCTAGCTCTTTCTTATTTATTTATTTGTTGTGATTTGGGTGAAAGTTTACAAAGCAAATTCACTTTCCATACAGCAGTTCACATACACTTTGTCTGATGACATTGACAGTTTACCCCAATGCACCACCTCCCCTCCCACTTCCTCCCCATAGTTACCTCTTCCCTGTGTCCATCCCTCCATGCACTCCTGCCTCCTGAGCTCTCTCCCTGTGCATTAACAGCCCTTCTTTCTCCCATGATTGTTCTCTCCAAGGGATGTATCTACCTCAGGTACATGTTCAACTCTTATGCCTGTCTTTTATTTGGCTGGAAGCCACAGGTGTGGGTTCAATTCCAGACCTGAAGGGCAGCTAGGGACCATAGTCTCA